TCTTCCATCCACTCATCCCCTCTATCGTCCACTCATCCCCTCTTCCATCCAATCATCTCCTCTTCCATCCACTCATCTCCTCTTCCATCCACTCATCTCAAAGCAGGAATGTTTAATCCTGCTGTGCCCCTAGTGGCCATACTCTCTTACTCTCAGAGGGCTTCAGATGTTGTTGTGAAGTTGAGGAAGAGAAAACGGGAAAAGACTTTTTCTGTTCAAGTCAGGGAGATCCCAGAGTGCTGGGCAGAGGGCAGTGACCTCTCCTTTGTCCTTCTATAATTTCCTCAGCCACTCAGGAAAGTGTCAACTGTGTTCCTTCCAGGTGTGGTTTTGCTTCTCTTTACCTAGAACAGTAATTTGTTCAAGTGACTTAAAGGGAACAGCAGTAAGTACAGCAAAAATTTTCTGGGCTGGATGTGTAAAGTGTGAGTGTAGCATGCATAAGACCTTGGGCTCAATCCTCAGCTCCAAAATGGTAACCCCAACCATGAGAACAGCATCAACCTCTGTGCTGTGTCAGGAGCCTCTTCTGAGGCAGTCTTCACTGAGGATCCGAGGCTGACCTCCTGGTCCTCAGGTGCAGACTTTTGTCTCATAAATGAAGCACACACAGGATGATGTTCTGGAGATGTCCCTGCCCTCTGCCCAGGACCTTGCAGAGTGGTACAGCTCATGACACTTGGTGTCTCCTGTGAGTGGTCCCCTGAGGGAAAGAGCATGTAGAGGCTGGCAGTGACCGAGGACAGTGGCCTGGCAGAGACGGTCAGTCTTGGGATGCTGAGTCCTGAGGAGGTCAGCAGTGGGAACCGAGGCTGAAAGGACTAGGAGGGGACAGTGTTGCTGCAGCTCCACAGCCCATGGCAGGCCCACCCAGGGTGGGTCATCGCTTTGGGGAGAAGAGAAGCCAGAAAGACCCAACACTGACTCCCATAGTGAAAAGCATCTTCACATTAGAGTGAATTCTGAAGTCTGTAGCCTGGTAGATAGCACATGTTTAAAGTTTAAAATGAAAATAGTTGTGTTGAGACTAACATGTTTGAGGGAGGCATGGTGGTCCATACCTGTAATCTCAGCACTGAACCACTGGACTGTCTACTTCACTCGAAGTAGCTCAAGTAAGTCTCATAGCTGTGATTGGACAAGGACCTACTGCCTTGTAATAAATTTAAATATCCTGAGCAACTTTCTCAGCCATAAAATCTATTCCTAGAGTCTAATAGTTATATGTATTGGAAGTAACACCTGGCCATTGAACTACTAGTCCTACATATTTATTTTGAGGGAATAATTGTAGTTAACAACAAAGAATTGGAAACCACTTAAAAACCCATAATCCAGGGGCTGGATAGTAAAGATTGTGGTACAGATACACAGTGAAATACTAACCAGGTATCTAAAGGAATGTTCTAGAAACACATGCTGCCATAAGTAGATTTTCACATTACAGTATCGCACTAAAGAAACAAGAGTCCAGGCATTCTGGTGCACACCTGTAGTCAACTCACTCAAGAGGCTGAGACAAGAGGCTCCCTGCAAGTCTGAGGCCAGCCTGGGCTTAAGGCCAGTCTGAACTGCATAGTGAGATCTTGTCTCAAAGAAAAAAAAATAATGAACATGTTAAGATGTTGCAGATAAATGGCTAGTGGGGAAGATAAAGCAGGTTACAAAGCTATATGATTATACCCTATTGTTTTTGGTTTTTTTTTTTTTAAGAAAAAGTTTGCATTCTGAATATATCCCTTGAAATGCTGTCAGTGGCAAGCCATAGCTTGTGGGATTCTAGGTGATTTTTTTTTTATTACCTTATTTCTGTCTACGACGTTTAAACCTATCCTTTATATTTTAATACTTAACATGGTTCAAAACTCAAGGTGTGTTTCCGTGTTTACCCCACGGAGCCCCACCCTGCCTCCATCACAGCTTCCCTTGCTCCTTTCTATGAGCAGCTATTTTGCTTTCTTATTATTATTTTACTTTTTTTTTTTTTTTTTTTTTTTTTTTTGGCAGAACCAGAGATTGAACTCCGGTCCTTGCACTTGCCAGGGAAGCGCTTATTCCACTGAGCCATCTCCCCGGTTCCCCTATTTTACTTTTTTATTAACTTATCTTCCCATTGATTTTTCTTCAATCACCCACAAACAAAGGTGAATGCGCATTTCATTCTTCCCATGCCACCGCCCCCACACTGTGGCGCCTTGCTTCTCTCCTTCTGGGTGACGCTATCAGCAGAAGCCTTGTGGCCGGGTCCTCGCGGCCGGGTGCTCATGGCGGTGTCCTGGGCTCGCTGTTCACGCACTGCCCACTCCCTGCCGCCCGCAGGTCCTGCTGCGCCACGCAGCCAGCACTGTGAAGAGGGTCTCCATGGAGCTCGGCGGCCTCGCGCCATTCATCGTCTTTGACAGCGCCAACGTGGATCAGGCCGTGGCAGGGGCCATGGCGTCTAAATTTAGGAACACTGGTCAGGTGAGTTATGTAAAATCTGCAGGGTCTGAGGTGTAGATGTGAGGCCTTAACGAAGATCACACAGCATCACCTCCACTACCCGCTGGTCTCTGAGCACGCCTTCTCTTGATTAGAGTGGAAATCAGCGTGAGAGGCAGTGCTTCTCTACCCTTGGTCTTAACAGTCCTGGCCCTGTGTGCCCTCAGCAGTCCCTGGCCCCCTGGTTATAGCACTGGAGCGGTTGGCCTCTGGTCAGCTCTGCAGTAGCCACAAAGCCGCAGCAGCCCTCTGGAGCTCCTCTTAGGCACTTCTGGTGGTCTCTGGAACGGTTCACAGCTGGCAGCATCCAATGTGTATAGCTCCTTTTGAAAGCAATCTGTTCTGCTCCTTTTCACAAAACCAGCAGATTTATGGGACTACAGAAGAAGGCTTTAAGCACATGCACCAGAGAAGAGCCTCCAGGCTTAAGGAAGAGAGTTAGGAGATGATGCTTACATGAAGCAACCGCTGGCCTGTGATTGGCCCAAATTCACCCCAGCCTATTGGTCTAATTTTTTTTTTTTTTTTTTTTTTTTTTTTTTTTTTTTTTTTTTTTTATACTGGGGATTGAACTCAGGACCCTGCGCTTACCAAGCAAATGCTTATTCTACTGAGCTATTTCCCCAGCCCTATTGGTCTAAATTTGAGCCTGAGGATTGGTGTCAATTCAAGCTTGCTGATGGAAACCTGACTGGTTCAAATTCAAGCCTATTCTGGTCAGGGCAGACATCTCCCTCCCAGCCTGTGCAGGGTAGCCGGGACAGCTGCCCCTGTAGCTCTCAGCCAAAGCACGCCCCCTTCAGGCTGTCAGCTAGGGAAGGGTTGAGTCTGTCTTTGGTCTGTCTCACCTCATCCCTCTTCATTCTCTCAGGAAGCCTCTAGTGGTTCCCTTTGATTTTACTAAGGACTGTTGCAAGGCGTGGGTAGATCACAGAGAAGCTGGGCATAGTCTCTGGCTTCAGAGGATTTCCTAAACTGCAGATGTGCTTCAGTTAAACAATCCTGTGTCCTGTCTGCTGCCCTTTGAGTCTGCTGGCTTCCATGGATCTCCTGTACTACACTTTTCTCTACTACACAGATATAGTCATCTCCTCAGATGCAAAATAGTCTTCAGCTGTGAAGGTCAGAGGTCCCCCACTATCTTGAAGGAAAGTTGGAAGGAAAGAAAATTTTGAAAATGGTTTTTGGGAAAACTCAGAACCTTGCTGTCTGCAAAGTCCTGCCTGGGTTTCACCCTCCCTGAGATGGGGGCATCAGGGGCACCCAATAAATGGTGTGTAGGCAGTTCCTAGCTTGTCATGGGAGAGGCCTATCTATATAGGAAACCCTGGAACATTAGATTTGTCAAGAACCTTCCAAGTCATCTGATGTAACACTTGAATTTTACAGGTGAGAAACAGAAACTCAGGAAAGACTGTGAATTGAGTTATCCACCCTGAGGAGTGGGCACTGCACATAGAGCCAGCCTCCCTGTTCCTGTCCCAGCCGCCATCAGGCGCCAGGCTTCTTAGGAAGTGGTCTTTAGCTGTGGCCTCAATTTAGCTCAATTTAAATGCCTTCAGGAAATAGACTACACACACTAGAAAGGTCCTATTATGAAAAGATAAAATGTCACATACTGTCTGTTTATTTTGGTCTTTCATAATTAATTTTTGCCTTTCATATAAATGTAACCCACTTGATTGAAATAGATATGCTTTCCTTTACAGACACAAATGCTGAGGTGTATAATTTTCAGTGTTAAACCGTGAGCTTACAACTTTGGGACAGGTTTCTTTATGCCAATGAACATGCATAGTATGTGAAATTCTAGGTGTACCTTTTTCTACTAGCATAGTACGTGATGAAGAAAAAAGCCCAAAAAATTGATTAGTGATTATCTTTCCTTAGTTGTACCTTATAACTTAAAATACAGTATCTGATCTGATTAGAAAAAGGTTTTTTCAATAATTTAAATTAGCATAGAGCAAGGGCCATAGGTTTTTGTTGTTGTTGTTTTTTGTTTTTTTAAAGGCAAGGTCTTGATATATAGTTCAGGCTGACCTTGAACTCACTATGTAGCCCAGGCTGGCCTTAAACTTATGGTGGTCCTCCTGCCTCAGCCTCCCAAGTGCAGGGATTATGTGCCACTGCCCAGCTGGTCCGTTTTTAAAATGATCCATTCAGTCAAACTCTTGGAAGGATCAGCTAAAAAGTACAAGTAAGCATATGACCTCATCCTCTGGAGCCTCTGCTGTTGCTAAGTTGCTATCTCTCAAGAGGGCTGTGAGTTCTGTTTCCTATTTGTTTTATAAATTTATTCAAACCATTAAAAAAGGGGGGGGGACGAGTGGCCATTAATCGTGTTTAACACGGAGATGTTGGTACTTGCTCACGTGTCTGGCTGTAGCTGTATAGCAGCTCTGGAGGGAGGCAGAAAGGATTTTGCAGTTGTCTCTGGGGCCTAGCCCAGCCTGGGAGGAGGGCAGCAGGCTGGTCCCATGACTGAGCCGCCTGGGGAAGGAAGCAGCCGTGCCACATTGCCTGGTTGGATTGATAGCTCCCAACAGACTGATCCTGGGAATTTGCTTCTGTCTCCTCTCCAGACTTGTGTTTGCTCAAACCGATTCTTGGTGCAAAGGGGCATCCACGATTCCTTTGTAAAAAAATTTGCTGAAGCAATTCAGAAAAGCCTGCGTGTCGGGAATGGATTTGAGGAGGGAACTACGCAAGGCCCGTTAATTAATGAAAGGGCCGTCGAAAAGGTACGTTTGTTTTAGTGTGTGTGAAAGCAAGCTGGATGGTTTCAAAATGAAAAGCTTCACAAAGAGAGATTTCTAACAGTTTGCATGATCAGGTGGCTTCGTCTTATCATAAGCTTCTCTAGCTCTGTCATCACACTGAGACGCTGTGACATCTGTCACTTTGGGTCTTCTGCTTCCCTCTGTAAGCTTCCATCTTAGTGGCTGTGATTCTTTTAATATCAGAAAACCTTTCCAGAGGTATCTCTGGGGAAAGCACTCCTGCAGACAAATAGGAAGGCGTGGGTGCCCAGTTCAGGATTTAGACGTGGAACACAAAGCTGCTGTTAGGAAGGATTTGTGTGGTGAAAAGACTGGCAGGTGCTAGACTACTAGCCAGGTGAGACTTCTTGGCAATAGCAGAGATTCAGTATGTTCAATGTGTTGCCTAGACAAGGATCTCAACAGCCTCTCTACAGTCAGGCAGATATGGCAGTTGGGGATGGAATATGGGGCAGAAGGGAGGAGGGAGGCAGCAGGGGTAGCAGCTGGGGCTCAGCCAGCGCGTAGATGAACCCAGATCAGGGAGAGCAGAGGCAGTGCTCATAGCAGTGCTGATGCAGCCCCCACCCCAGGCCTCGTGCTCCTGACAGCCAGAGGGCCAACCTCAGACGATGCCCACCCTCAGCAGTGGGCAGTCCGTCACCATTGCTGTCCACCAGGGGAGGATGGAGGGCAGAGGGAGCTCTGCCAACCATCTGATTATTTATCACCTTGGTATTACTCTCGGGACAGAAAATGCAGTAACGTCCACACCATGCCACCGAGTCTTAGAGGGATCTTTGGACCCCAGGACACATGGAGGTGCTTGCTTGTCTAGGGAAGGCACGTCTGAGTTCAAGTCCCAAATGGTAATTCTTAGCACCCCTATGCTTTTCATAGGTGCCTCCAGGCCGCTGACTGTTAATTTGTCTCAAGTAGAGCCAAAGCTTTTGTTTTGTTGTAGTGCTGGGGAATGAAAACTAATGAGCACCCCTGAGCCCCCCCCCCACTCCCCCGGGATTGAACTCAGGCCCTTGCACTTGCCTGGGAAGGGCTTATTCTATTGAGCCATCTCCCCGGCCCCTATTAAGTGCACAAAGGACGCTCATTTGCAACCAGGCTGGTGGCTGTTTTGGGGACTTTTCCTAAGTGGATGTGTAGATACCCTCTAGATGGCGCTGCACACCAGAACTTGAAATCAGTGCTACTGCAGGAATTGTGTTTTTTGTGGAATTTGGTGAAAATAACCTAGTTTAGGGACACAGTTTCAGGCTAGAGATATGATAGGTGATAGAGCACTTGTCTAGCAGGCATGAGGGCTTTGGTTCAATCCTCAGCCCCCACAAAAGCAAAAATTAAAACCATCTGTGGGGGCTGATGATCTAGCTCAGCAGCACAGTGCCTGCCTTTCAAGCAGGAGGTCCTGGGTTTGATTCCTGGCCCCAAAACAAACAAACCAAAACAGTCTGTGGAGTTGGCTCTAATGTTTACAACGTCAGAGGGGAGGGACTTAAGAGAAAAAATACAACACTGCACATGTAATACAGAGACAGAGCAGGCTCTGTTAGGGGCAAAGAAGTGGGCGGCTGCTAACTCAGTTACAAATAGATTTCTAAAATACGAATCACAGAAAGCCATCCTGGCTAATGGTCATTTGTGGCAGAGAATGAGCTTTTTAGATTCAGAATGCATGAGTCTTGAGGGCAGAATGTGCCCATTCAGAATGCGTCCCTTCTGAAACACTAGAAAATTCAGCTGACGATGAAGGGGAGATGGGCTCTGGAGCCCCAGAGCATGAGATGGACTTCT